GCGGAGGCAGTGTCTCGGAGGTGTGGATGGGACAGCTAGTAGATTGTTCGGGAACAAACTACGATGCAGTGTTCCTTCGCTTAATTAATGAGTGCTGCACTGCAAATACACCAAAGCCACTTCTCACCACAAGTCACTCTCCCCACATCCACCTCCACTTCCACTCCCACTCCACTCAACCCATCACCCTATTAATCAGTCATTGAGGAAGCACTTGAACACCAGCATGTCTTTCTAGCATAAAGCACACGAATGACGAAGTGAAAGCCTTTGAAGTCCACCAGCACCTCCTAATACACATTGGTGAAACTCGTTTAGTTGGCTGTCACCACAACTTTTTCAGTAGATGTAGGTTATTGTTTCATCACTTATGCTGCGTTCAATGCTACAGCAAGCTGTGCCTGCTGACGCGTTCAGCTCCACTTTTTTGCATAACAGCCAAACGCAATTCCACATTCCGAGTAGGGATAGAGGGTCACCTTGAACATGATGCACCACCACCACCTAGTGGCTCACTTCTAAACGGTGAGTTCTGCTGTAGCGCCTTCTGCAACTGCCGCACAACTAATTCTACGAGAAGCTGGTCTCGGTAGCTTCGGAACCGAGTGCATCCCAGATCGCATGGTATACAGCCTCGAATCACAAGACAATGTACCATATTAACAGACTGCCCATGCTTTACAACGCATAGTTGTGGGCAAACGCAGGTGCTTAGCAAGTCTCGTTAAGTCACAACAAGACGTTGCGGCGAGCTGTACCGAAATTCACATAAACTGTTTCGGTAGCCTGGTGTGAATGACTACTTCGGTTGAGTAGACCCCAGTTATTTGCAACTGGCGTGTTGTGGAGAAGTGGGAACAAAATCCACATTTGCACTACGGACAGGAGTAATTTTGTTGGCAAGTCGGCCAACGCAACTCTGATTAGAGAAACAATTCAAGATGTGAGAAGCACACTAGAATAAGGTACATAGAAACACTGAGCAAATGGTGATCAATTTCGAAACCTTTAAACAATACAGTGTAGCTTCATAATTACCTCAACACTACATCAATCTTCTGGATGGGAAAAGCTTTGAGGAAAAATTTCACAAAATATGACCTGTCTGAAAGCTGACAGGTAGGGTTTGTAATTAGAATGGATTGTGCCCAACTGTCAAGCTGTCAGAAAAAGCGATTAGACACAAGCATAAAGTATCTCAGTTTAACTTTCACCATTAGGGCAATTTGTGAATAAAAAAATGTGAATGAAACCGGTGAACTTGCCAGGTTGGACGGCATAGGCCACAAGGAGGTCAGCCTCAATGGGGATGCGTCGGAGACCGCCGAGAGTGTCCGAGTCACCTGGTCCGCCGGAGCTGTCTGTCGACACCAGCGTGCCTGAATCCAACATTGCGCCTCGACAGGCCTGAAACAGTCGGTGAACCGGTAAGTGGGATGTCGACTTGAGGAAAATGAATGATCACACTAGACACAAGTGAGCCGAAAGAATGGAGCATGTGGATTATGGGGAATGGGGATAACGAGCATTCCGTGGAACGCCCTAACAGGCTGTTGCAGACTACGTGCAGATCTTTGGAGGATGCCAATTGCAGTACAGTGTTTCTTGCCCTCTGCGGTTCGTATTCCGCATTAGTATAGCAATAGTATGCCACCAACAAGGCCACTTTTTGATTAATACCTGATAAGGTCTTCGTAGGCAAACTCAGGGGCCATGTTAATGAAATTGCTGGCTAATCAGGACCATGAGAATAGCAAATCCGACTTCGCCGGCTAGATACTGCGCCAAAAGGTCACTGCAAGCAGGCAGCTGCTGTGGTTGGCCGCACTTGTGCAGACTCTAAATCGAAGAACTATTGAGTTATTCCAATCTCGAGCCTCGTGTTCTTGCCATAGAACATCTTTTTCATCCTTAGCAATACTTTTCAGACGAGCCCTTAATGCTTGGAAATGTTTCCCAATTCCACGATATAAAATAACGAACCACAGCACTGTAAAACGGAAGGCCTAGGGAACAAGTCTTAAAACAGAAAGGGGGCCGCACAGAAGAATTACATTTCTTTGCGTTATGCCCTGATAACACCCGTCTACTTAGTCTCCTGTCATTCGACCTCCACAATGGTGAGTGGGATACTACACATGCCACCTGTTCTACTAGTCTCCACGGTTATTATAAAGCAGTGTCTAACCCCACATACTATGAAACGTCTTCAAGGATAATGTGAATGTTGTAGCTAGACCTCCAGTTAGCATTGGCTCCCAAAGAAACTCAAAAAAGCGGAAACAAAGAGAACCACAAAGGTGTAAGCAAAGCCAAAACGTAAAACAACGGGAGGAAAATAGTGAGCTATTTAACATCTAAATGAATAATGAAGTGAACTTAAAGATTAACTCAAAAGCCTGGACTCCAACACTCATGTGTTCCACAATTAAATGAAATATTGATACGGGCTTTTTGAATTGACATAAATTTACCACCCCTCATGTACCACCTAGTTTTATAGTAAATCTTCCATCCACATTGGTCAAAGAGGAAGCATTGTGCGATTCACCTACAAATGGAATCCACTGCTTCAGCTGCTTCGATTTGACAAGCGTGACAAGTTCAGATAGAGAGGGGGTGAGAGAGTGTTCTATTGTGAACGCTCCATTGCAAAAATAACCAGCCTGGTTCGGCGATCTAGGTATGCATTTCACAATTAACTCCAAATGTAGGTATTGAAAGCATAATGGAGTAGTCGGAAACGTTAATTCACACACACAATCAACAAGTGGCAGCAGGACTAGTAAACACTCGGCTAATCCAGATTTCAAAAGTCGAAACAAGTAGCAG